ATTATGCTCCAAAGACTTCTTAAATAAGTGGTGTGTATTTTTTATGGGAACCTTTTTAACTGGACTTACAGCAATACTTGTGAACTTTTTCATATTTACATTTTCGTAAACAAAATATATTAAAGACAATGTCACGCTAGTTTTACCTGCAAACCCAACTGTTAAAGCTGAGAGTTGTGTTATGACTGAATCTAACTTATTTTCAGAGCTCAGCTCAGATGACAGCTTTTCCAGAAAACTAAAGTCAGCTCTGTTGCCTGCTGCAGGATGCCGACATGTCTGGCATTTAAAATGTACAATCTTGTTTCAGGTCTCCACATCACAAGATGAACCTCAGGCACTTCTTCACCACAGTCACATCACCGAAGGAGAATGTTGGAATACGTTTGGGAGTTACAGTAGGATAACACCATAACTTAGTCGATTAGCATGGGTAAAGTGATGTAATTGAGAATTGATAAAGAAACAAACATTCATTAGCAATGACTATATCACCAAAGAGCAAAAAAGAGGTAACGTCTTCAGACTGTATCAACAGCAAGGGTCAAATCAGCAGGACGTGAATTTGTTCCCATGTCATTCAAGTATCAAGTCTACATGACCCATAAACATCGGTTTTCTTCCACATCTATGTTGGTGTAAGATTTCTGAGTGTGGTGGCAGAGACATTGTCGAACTCTTAATCAGACACAGGTTAATGGAGATCAGAGGCGTCATCACCCTCACATTTAATTCATGTTTGCAGGGTGTTTGACTCGTCCAGAACCAGCTACACCGAGCGCTCGAGTGATAATGCACAGATTTATTCCACTAGAAGTTAGAGCAAGTACAAACATCTGTCACTGTGTGATAATGTAAACTTAACAGATTTCATATTGTTCGTAACAAAGTATAAAGTAATTATCACAAATTGGAGCACTGCAGAGAAAATATGAGGCTTTGCATAGAAATTGCACCAATTTACAAAATATCAAAAAGAAATATCAGAGATCTGACTGTTGGACAACAAGAAGATCTCTGTAAAAGCAGCATCGAGCGCTTCAATGAATGTTATGTTGTGTCCAAACGTGATCAGGCTTATTTTTTTGATTTGTGTTTTAAAAAAAAACAATAAACTGCAGAAAATATTTCAACACATTTCATCACTGAGAGTACAAGAGAAGCCAGAGGGTTACAGAGACATGAGACCAAACGATTCCAGAGATTATAATGAAAACAATACAACTGAAATATATGATGTTAGGCATGTTATATTGTGATTTTAAAGTGAGAAGAATTAGGTTTTTAAGAATAAATCATGTTCTGTGAGGATAGAGAGTCAAATATCTAGCTATGAAAGAAAAACTAAGTTCTGGTGATTAAAGTTAAAAGGCACTTTATAAAAACAGTAGCTCATTAGTGAGTTTATATATTTAAAGAGTGTGTCATTGTAATGACACACAGTCAGTCTGTCCCCAGTAAGCACAGGCACTCTACTTCACTAGGTAAGAGAGTTGGTGTTCAGGTCAGATATCAAAACATTCTTAATATCTGTCAAGATTTTCTTCAATTGCCTTTTTTAGCTTTCTAAAAATATAAAATGAGGAAATGCTATAAGGACAACGTTGTGTCTCCCTCCTGAGATTTGCACAAAGTGCATAATGCTTTGTTTTCAAGCAGATACTGTGCTTTTTTTTCAGGCCAGTTATTATTAGCCAGTTGCTTTGTTTCCTTCCTTCACTGGCACAGTGCAAATATTTTCAGACAATTAAATTAATTAAAAACCAGCGAGCAAACCAGATCTCTGCACTTATTTTTCTTTTTCTTCCTTTGGCCATTTGATTTAAAACATTGTCAAACACATTTTAAACTGGCCATTAGAGACACTCCTGGGTCTTCATAGACAAGTTTTATATCAGATTTCCCATTGTCTGTGTTACTTTCAGCGATCTGCCTTCCCTTATGTAACAGCTTATTTGGGAAAAGAGAAGCCAAATCATTACTAAGACAGAGAAACATTACAGAAAATAAAACAAAATGACAGTTTCTCTAATTGAGCAACTTAATTTAAACTTGGCTGAACTTAAGTTTTGTACATTACTTGGTGTATATTAAACAACTTGATGATAAAACTTGCACAGACACTTGTCTTTCTGTTTCTCTTTCATGTTGTTGACTACACTTCACTTAACATACAGTTAAAACACGAGCACACCTCAATACATCCACACCACAGAGTTAAATTAAATAGAAACGTTGAAAGATGCTGATAATACTTGGGTAAAAGCAGGTTTTGGGTAAAAGTCAAATGAATGACAAACAGTTATTGATCACCATCTCTTCACTCAATGCCACGGTGACATCATAATGACCCCTCTGTGGCAGCATGCGTCATCCAGCATCAGGGAAAGTCGCTTCCGTCATAGATTACCGGTTTCTCCATGGTCAGATGGTAAAAGACTTTCTTCGAGATGAACCTGTTGGAAGAAGGGTTTCTGATCAAAGGAGGGCATTAGTGCAATCCCATTTACTAAGACGCTGAGGGTCAAAGGTTTGAAAGGCTAAATGTGGACACCCAGACAAACATACACATATATATAGACTATATAATGACCAAGTTTAGAATCATTTCAGGAGGTAGGCTGGATGTCAGGTGTTTCATACCGTGAGAAGGAGTTGTCAAAGATGAGTGAGTAGAGGCCGGGGTGTCGGACTTTCAGTTGCCCCTGAATTGTCTCTTTATGAGAATTGCAGCGAGTCAGAGCAATCAGGACCTGAGAGCAGAACAGAGAAATCAGTCTGAAGTGAAAGTGAAGAAATTCTCCCTGAAGTTGTTGGAGCTTATCTATAAAACACTCATTTGCTTTTGATAACATTTATGTTAACTTACAAAACTGTTTATATCGGACAATAAAAAATATAAAATCATTATAACAATATTTACCCCTAGAAAAGAGGTTATGTTTTCATCTGCATTTGTTTGTTATTTCGCAGGATTATGCAAAAATGACTGGACGGATCAGGGGGCAGATCCTGGAATATTTTCCACTTACTTTAACATAGCGAGATATGGCATTCTTCAAGGTTTCTGTAATAATAATTCATGGATCTTGATGAAAAAAATCAGCTATGTTTTGAAAGGTCACAACTTGTGACTGTGTTGGATGTGGAAGTGCTACATGTGTGTTTCCTCAGTACTCAGTGAGGGGGTGTCCAGAGTCTTTTGAGTCTGATAATAATGTCATCGTCTCTGAGGTAAGGAGTGGCGGGGAGATAAAAGGCATCTTCCCACTGATTGGGCCTCCATACTGTATACTTCAATGGCTTCCAGTGGTTCGGATCTCCCAGCACATTGTTGTTTGTGCATAAACATACAAACCAACACAGTGAGCTCATCTACCTTCGACTGTTCCACCTGCGTGTCAGTAGATTCCCGGTAAACCACACTGAAGGAGATGCTTTTGGGCTCAGAGGAAAACATCCAGCTGATGGTCGGTCCGCAGTCGTCCACAGCTACGGTTATCACACTGTAACAGCTGGACTTGATGAAGAGTTCCCGAGAGCCGTCACCAAACTGAGAAATAGCATCAATGCTGAGGGGAACGGCCATACTGAAAGAACAACACATCAATGTTCAGATGCACAAATTCAACCCATATGAAATGATGTATGAAATAGAGTATATCTGATACTCAATTTATTTATTTTGTGAGATTAGACTGAGACAGAGCTCCACCATTTGACAGTACAGGTGCACGAAACAAATACACATCGATTATGGATCGTAATCTGATTGGCCAAACAACCTCTGAGGAGGTCTGTAACCACATTAAACCCAATTTGTAAATATATTGATGGTGCAGTTGTGGATCAGCTGTCCACTCACAGAGGGACAGTGGTTCGATTGTTGAATACAACTACAAAAGCACTACTTTAATACAGTCTTTTTACTATGATACAACTACACAGGCTACTATGATTAAGTACAACATTATCACAGGTGGCTCTACCAAAACATCGAGGTAGCAGCTCTGCAGCTAAAAGCCATTAGCCAATAAAAACATAATGCAGTCCTCTCCTCAGTGCTCAACTGTGAATGTTATGTAAACACCTTAACACCTACATGAAGTGAAGACGAGACTGACAAAAAGCAAACACACACAAAAACAAGGCTTCACAGGTGGCTGCAACCTTCTATTATTCTTCCTCTATTTTTTTTATGTTGTCTGTTGTTTTTGTAGACCTGCACAAATAAGAGAAAAATGCGACTTGAGCTAGAGAAAGAAATTAGACCTCAACTGCGACTTTGTGTGAACACTGGAGGCAAATGTTGTTAAAAACATAACTAGATTCAATCTGAATATGAGATGCATTTTAATGTCAGTTGTTAATGGAGTCATAATGAGGACTCACGTCACTTCTCCCGATCTGAGGAGGTTGATCTCTGAATCCTGAACCGTGGGGACGTGCTCTTCAGGGTCATCAGGTGTCAAATCTCCTGTTCCTCTGTAAAGTCAAAGACAACACGCATCTTATTTTAATGACACGGAATAAACATAATTTTGTTCTACCTTCAGAAATCACTGCAGGAAACAAAAGAGTGTTCTGGTTAAACAACATAGAAACAGTACATGAGGTTTTGTTCCTACACTACAGTCATGACAATGCATTTTTATTGGTTAATTAATTTTAGGCACACATCATTAATTTACCCTATTTAATTTAACACACTCTACATTAGGCTTAACATACCGATGGTTATTTTGATTTTCAGCACAAGCTCATTCAGTTGTACCTCATCTTCATCCCTGTTATGACTTATTGAACATTCAATATATTTGCTATATATACTATAAACCTGGTTTTCGTGAATCAAGTACATGAACATAAGCAATAAAATAACTGGTTTCAATATTCTGGCAAATCAGTGTTTTTTTGACTAACTGAAGTCCTGGAAAATAATTGACACTACAAAATAACTTTGCAATTACATTACTGATGGTTCTGAATTCATTCTGAATTCTCCATGAGTGAAGCCAAAGTGTCTCTATCACCCCCTAGTGGCTGGCTGCAGTTTATGTCATAAACCTCGCCTTTATGTCAAAGTGCTATTTTTCCATTACGTTTTGTTTTAATTATTTTTTGATCCAATAAAAATGGGGTGAAATGTCATGATTGACAGCTGAGACTGACTCGCAATTTGTCAACTCTATGTATCAATGGGACCTCACCACCTCCACGCCACAATTACTACTCCTAATTATGTCTTCTGCTAATAACAGCAGCATTTTATCTGGGATATTACGGCTTAATTCCTGGATAGTGACGTGAAGAAGTGTCATCCATCTTTATACACAGTCTAAATTATACTATTTGACCTTTCTGGTTGAGCTTAAGCCAAGGAGTATGACCAGAGTTTTGAGTCGAAAACAGACGCGGAAAATGAAAAGGTCTCATCTTCATCCCTCTGCTCTTCTCCCCACGTTCATGTTACACTCACATATCCAGTGATCCCGGAGGACGTCGGTCTTGTTCTCCATCCAGAGAGCCTGCTGTGGTCTGGGAGGTGGTGTCGCTGTCGTAGACGCCATTCACTTCTTCTTCGGTGATGATGTCATAAGCTCCATCGTCAGATCTGTTGCTGGGATCAGAAACTGGGAGGAATCGATGGATTTAACAAAATAAATAACTGAAAATACAGAACAGTAAACAACCACCATCTCATGTTACTTAAAGGTCCAGTGTGTAAGACTTAGGTGAAAGGGAACTATTGGCAGAAATTTTATGTAGAATAATCCTCATGATGTTTTCAATAGTTCGTTTCATCTAATGTATGAAAAAAAGGCCCTTTATATTCAAATACTTTATATTTACATCGAAAGGACCCTCTCTACGGAGGCCACCATGTTTTTTACATTACTCCAGCCTGGACAAACTAAACACCTTTTGAGTTTTTATGAAAATGAAAGGCTACCACAGGTTCTTTTTCATGTTTGGATGGAGAGGGTGAGGTGAGGGGTGCTCAGCTGCAACATGCAATTTCAAAACTAGATATCACTAAATTCTACACACTGTACCTTTAATGCAGGTATACAAATCTTTTTTGAAATTAGAGTCACTAATAATATAAATTTAACATTATGCAGCACCAAAAAAAAGTATGAGAAATGTTTGTTCTCAAGAGGGAAAGGTCACCTTCCCTTTTTTTTCGAGTAAACAATATTCTTTAGCCAAACTTTCTCTCTTTGCTCCTGAGTATGAGGAAGTCTGTTTTTCACTTCTGTTTTCCAGTTAACACAATGGAAAAAGAAAGTGGTGCCTTGAGAACTACAGTGATAAGCTTTTGACCCAGGTGTGCAGTGTCAAATTAGTGTGTAGTAGTTGTGTATCCCCAGTGTGCATCTCACCTGTTACCCTGGGGGTGGGTTTGTACGGAGCTGGTTCAGGAGACGGTTGGGGTCCAGCTCCAGGTGGAGGAGGCTGGATATCTGAAGGACTCAGCTCTGCCTCAGTGAATCTCTCCACCACCGCACTGTGTTGGGTGTAACACTCCCTGCAGCAGCGCTCCTTCCTACCGCTGTGCTTGGTCATTGCAAAGTTGTTGCTGCAGTAGTAGCAGAAGATGCGACCGCAGAGCCTGGGAAATATAATGTCCATAACAGACATTTCATTTTATGACTAAACACAGATTCTGCTGACATGCATGTGCACAAGTGCCTCAGTGATGATGATCAAAAATAGGTAACAACTGCGAGCCCACCTGCAGTGATGTCTGCGCAGCCACCAGGTGAACTGGCCCTTGCAGCCGAGGCAGTGAGTCGCCTCTTTATCCAACCACCAGCGCTCCTCTGCTCGCAGTTTCTGCTCAAACTCCAGAGCGTCCGACTTCTGCCACAGAGCATCTTTGTCCCTTAGGTAACGCATAGTGCAAGACAAATTTCAATTGTTTTCCTTTCACATCATTATTTCAACTTAATCTCTCTAAATACTCATGTTCTGTTGGATGTTAAAACATTTCATGCTCATGATGGCGGATGGAATCTTTATTGTAAATAAACTGGTATCTGTGTTTGTATTGTACATTTCCCATTAGGAACCATCATGTCATGTACTTGTACTGTGCTAGTATAATTTATATTCACGACACCTGTTCGGAGCAAGCTATAGACCACAAATGATACAACTGAGAAAAATAATGAAGGCACATATAATGCAAGAGTACAAAAGACTGAATCGATGTGGGAACCCCCCATGGGATTTGACTGAATCAATGTGTGTATTTCATCCCTGACAGAGTAGGAAAGCTTTGTGATCCACGGAGGAATCAGTGCCTGCTAAGTTCAGTGAAGAATAATGGATAAAAAGCCCATTCTCAACAGTGGTGTCTCTTTGCTATGCATGTTGGAGCTTTACCTTCCCCGCTCTGTTCTCTGTGAAAGTCTTTCCGTCAGATCTGTTCTCCGTGAACTATCTCAGCATTCAAAGAAGCCCTTTCCCCCCACATCCTGTTCCTCAGATCTAATTGTCCCATGTTACCAAAGGTAAGTATAGCAACATCAGAGAACTGCTCTGAATGAAAGAACCAATCCGAAAACAAACCGCTACCCACCCCCCCTCGATGGGATTATCAAAGAGCAGGCAGAAAAAATGAACTTTGACCTTAGTCTTCATTAAGAATCTCTCCGCCTGTTGCGCTGACAGCCTCAACATGGCTGGCAGCAGTAACAGACATGGGTCATACCGGATAAGCTCGATGAGCCGCTCTTCAAGGTTAGCCTTGGTTCTGTTGAGGTCGTCAATCTCTGCAGTCATCTTCAGGTTTTGGCTTTGCTGGTCGGAGTGCATTGCGTTGAGTTTTTCCTTAAGTTCCTCGCAAACCTTCTGAGCAGAAAAGTGTGCATCTTCAGCTCTGAAGAGAGTGAAAGCAATTAGTCAGCACCTCTGTTATTTCAAATTTTATGATAAAATGCAGAGGTATCAATGGTCAGGAACACACTTGCTCACTGCGTCTCTCAGTTGCTGAATCTCGCTTTCACTCTGACGAATGGTTGCTTCTGTCTTTGTGATGTGAGCATCTTTCTCACCAGTCAGTACCAGGAACTGCTTGTTCTCAGTCTTTATTCAAGTTAAGTAGGACACATAAGTAAAAATATGGGTCAGAACAAATGTTTTTACCTCGTTAAGGATGTTACGTTTTCACACAACCGATAAGACAATATTTGGTGGAAGGATGCAGTGTGGGTCAGAGAACTATTTTTTTGTGTGGATCCTTTTTTTTTAATTTTTACTTTCTTTAACATTGTGAGGTGTTTTTCCAAAAAATTGTTTCCCGAACTAAATAATTAATGGATCTTAATAACTAATGCTTGAAAGACTCTCACCTCTAATTCAGATACTTTGGCTTGCAAGCTGCACACGTTCTTCAGCTCCTCCTGCAGCTGAGTTTTCACCTTGTCCAGCTTTTCATTCATACTCTGAAAAGTGACAGAAACATAAGAGAATGGAAAAAAAGGAAACAATAGATGTTGGTACAATACTTAATGTCAATCCATCCAGTAGTTGTTCTGATATTTCATTGTTAGCCATGAAAAGGAAAATGATGTTGACAGGTTCTGACTGACTCACCTTCATCTGGCCCTGATGATTCATGCTCTCTGAGCTCATCTGGAACTTTACGGCATCAGTTTCCTCTCTGCTTGAGTCCCTGACACTCTGTACTTGGTTCTTGGCCTTTTCAAGCTGCCCCTGGAGCTCAATGATAGTCCCTGGAAGCACCTCCTTCTGCGACAGCTCCTCCCTTACTCTGTTATTCTCCAGTCGCAGTTCCGTCATGCAATCTTCTAGCAGCTCCACCTTTTTCTCCAGCTCTACAATCATGGCAGCGTCACCTGTGCAGTGCTTTCTGGCCTCTTCTTTCTCAGCACTCAGCTTGCAGATGGTCATCCCCAGCTCTGCCATCTCCGTGTTTGCCCTGTGCAGACCCTCACGTGTCTCACTGTTCTCTACGACCAGCCTCTCGTTTCGTGCCTTGAGCGTGGACAGTTCTTCTCGGACTGCAGCTGCAGAGATCGCCAGTTCGGCGTTGGCAGCTACTTCTCTATCGCGTTGTTCGATCAGAGTCTCTTCTTTCTTTTTGCACTCCATCAGCTCTGTTACATGCTTCTGGTTCAGTGCTTCTGTCTGAGTTTTAAGCTGCTCGGTCAGAGTCCTGAGTTCATCTCTTTGGGCTTCTGTCACCTCCAGCAGTGCTTGGGATTTAAGCTTTTCCTCCTCAGACCTCTGTACCTGCACCCTGAGGTCCAGGATCTCTGCCTGGAGCCTGGAAACTTCTTTCATGGTCACCTCCAACTGGCCCTCAAACACAGTCAGCTTGCCTGTCACCTCCTGGTTCTCCTTAACTTGAACAGCGCTCCTCTCCAGTTGAGATTTCTCCATCGCCTGCTTCTCACACGTCACCCTCTCGATCATTTCAGTCTGTCTAGCACAGGTTGCTTCTGCATCAGTTTTGGCCATCTCAAGCTCCTTCTCCCTGGCCTCCAGAGCTGTTAACCTGGACTGGAGCTCAACAAGGTTCCTCTCTTTACTTACTAGCAGGTTCTCTTTGTTTTGAACTTCTTCTTGAAGACTGGCTTCATTCTTGCGTGAAGCTCCTAAATTCTTCTCCAACTCTCCGATCTGCCCATGAACACTCTTCAGGTCTGCTTGCATGCGACCAAGAGCTGCTTTCACAGTGTCCTGCTCTTCTCTCAGACTCTGGTTCTCCTGCTCAAGCCGCTTTGACGTGGTCTCTGAGAGCTTTGCGGCCATGGTGGTTCGCTGCAGACTCTCATCCAACTTGCGGTTCTCCTCACGCAACATCTTCTCTTTTTCATCCACTGTCATCTTGGTATCGTCCAGCTGTCCGCGAAGCTGTTTCTCAGAGGCCCTTAGAGCTGCTAACTCTGCTTCAAGCACTGCTCTGTTGTCTGCCATCTCCTTCTTCAACTCCTCATTTCTCTTCACCCTGGTCAGCAGCTTCTCATTCAGCTCCATTAAATTGGTACATTGTGTCTTATAATCTTCTATCTTTGCGGTCTGTTCTTTGATGCTTCCCTCCAGCTCAGCAAGGCTGCATGTCAGTTTCTCCCTTTCTGTGTTCAGCTTTTGGTTCTTGGCTTCAAGCTGTTGCAGTGTCTCACAGGTTGAAGTCAGCTCTGCTTCCTTCTTTTCGACTTCTGTTTCTAGCTTCTTTTTTAAGTCGCCGACATTCTTGTGCATTTCATCTTTATATTCTTGCGCCATCCTCTTTACAACCTCCACCTCTTTCTCTCTCTCCTCTAAAGATCTTTGCAGATCTTGCAGCTGCCTATTTAGGTTGCTTGCCTCCTTCTCTCTTAATGTCAATGCCCCCTGTAGCTTGTCAACTGCACTACACTGTTGTTCAACTTTCGCCATAAATGTGGCCTTCTCCTCAGATGCAGATGCAATTAATGCTCCAAGTTTTATCTCACCATCCTTTGCAGCTGCCTCCTTGAATCTCAGCTCTTCCTCAAGTCTTTCTGCCAGCCTCTTTTTCTCCTCTACCTCAGCAGCAGCTTCCATCTTTCCTTTCTCTGCCTCTTTCAATCTGTCCAGCAACTCATGTATCTTTTGTGCTGAGTCAAAGTAGCTGGCTGCCTGCTGGCCCTTCTCATTAAGAACCCCGTCCAACTTGGCCATGAACTCTATATTCTTCCCTTCAGCAGCAGCTAATTTTTCATGAAGCAGGCGTTGTTCAGCCTCTGTGGTTTTGTCCCTAGTCCTAAGTGTTTCCACCTCTCTGGAAAGGGCCTCCTCTCTCCCTCGCAGAGCCATGAGCTCTCCCTGCAAGCCCTGTTGCTCCTCTTGGGCAGAAAGCGATACATCCAGTTGCCTCTGGAGCTCCACAACTACACCCCTGAGCTCAGCTCCCTCCTCTCCAAGCTGCTGCACCTTATCGAGGAGTTCTCGCTGCTTCAGCTCAGACTGGTCAAGTTCAAGACGAAGGTCTTCAACTGTGCTGACATCTTCAGTGCACGTAGGCAGGGAATCATTCAGGTCATTTAGCAGACTCTGACCATAGTCGGGGCTGGAGGGAAACTCAGGTGCTTGCTGGATGGTTGTAAGAGAAACAGGAGGAGAGGAGAAGAAGTGATGAACGTTCTGTAGTCATTTTAAAATGTTAACAAAATGATAATATGATTTTAGAGACATGGATCAGTTACCTGGGAGTAGGTGCTGGCCAGACTGTTAATGCTGGAACTGCGACTTGGTGGCTTCCACATGTGGCCCGGTGAGTTTCCACTTCCCAGTGTCCTCCTTTTATCAGAAAAGAAAGATATTACTGCAAACACTGGCAAACGTCACACATCATAACTTAACTCTTAAGCAGATGCAAAGAAAAGGTTGCATTGTATGAAAAAGATTTACTACAATCATTTCATAATGCTTGTTTAGTTATCTGATGGATCATTGTCATCTTTTTTTATTTGCTCTAAATGTTGTTTTATTTGATTTTTGTGTTCTTACCTTGCAAAAGTGGGCCAGGAGGAATCAAGATCATGTCCTCTGGAGGCCACATCAAACTGTACCTCATTGAGTTCATACAGGTGATTGATGATGTCAACACTAAGATGAGGCTTCAGGAAGGGGCTTCTTGCATAGTACCAGTCACTACAGGAGAAGAGTAGAGGTAAAATCATATACAGCATAATGACTATAACTAGTCGGCTGAATAAGGAAGTTTGTTTCTAATTTTTATCCATATCACTAATGGGAAAACTGACCTTTGGCCTTGAACTGAAAACTTGATCAGCAATAATATAAAAAACAGGAATGAGTGGACGGATCTTTCAAATACATAGCACATAGCAGCCAAATGTTATTACAGCTTCGCTATCTAAAATCATTGTATCAGCCATGCACCCAGTTCTGATAGGATTATAACAAGGTCGGTGAAATGAAAAGTTGTGTTAAGAAGAAAAGGAAAGGTGGAGCAGAGATGGAGAGAATTCACAATGACAGTTCACCACCTCAATATGACACCCAGAATACATCGGGCAGTCTGATGTAGACTTTCATAGTAAAAGCCATGGAAATATCATATTTTCACTGTTTTGGTTGTGGCAACAGAGGGGATTCTTATGGCAACAGACAAAGATGAAGGCATTGAAAAGAAGGCAGAGGGCAGTGAATTACTGCACGGCCTACTTCTTTGCTAGTCTGGTAACCATTACATCAACTAATAGGGTTAGCCTTCAAAGATAGAGGTCTGTTGCTTTGTGTGAAAGGGGTAGCCTAGAAAGGAGTCAAATTCCTATCTTGAATTATTGTCAAATTCAGCCCCTAACTGACCACTATATCCTCTAAAACCTGAGCAGGCACATGTCACAGAAAGGGGAAATTAAATGTTGCATGGCCTCTATCCATTTTTTTTTTTACAAACCTTGTAATTTATAAAGCAATGTCTATACAATGAAATGTATATAAATTAAAAATCATATGGCCAGGGGACTTCATTAATAACTGTCTGTTTTACCTGGTGACTCTCTGGTTCATCAGGCACTGCTGCAGCGTGTCCGCCAGTCGCTGATGTACAAGGGAGTAGCGAATGAAAGCTCGTCCCTTCCCCAGAGATGTCTTCAGCTGTCGAAGTAGTATTTTTTTTATTTTACAGTGGTTTTAAACAGTTTTTACTTCAAACTCTTTTTTATTATTTACTGCTCAACAAACAATATATTTGATCATAACTCTAGTGTCACTGTTTATAAAGTGATGCTACATATATTCAATTGAAGCCCATTCTAATGCAAACAGACTATATATTAGTAAGATTACATGGAAGAAATGACAACAAATATACTACAATTACAGCACATTGCTTTTAGATCAAAATTAAAAGGAAGCAGCACATTAGTGCAAAGACTTAAATTGATTTCTTGACTATGTTCTGGCTCTAAAATACTGAACTGAATTCTTTCTGTGTATATTGTGTTGTGTCAATAATAAGAAATGAGACAGAAAACATAAATGTTTGTGTTATTTCAAAGAAAATAGATTTAGCACTTTCTTATTTTGAGGGTTAATCTGATATCATCAATGAACAGTATAAAATCAGTGAAATATTAGTGATGTTGCCATAAAAAACTACAACAAGTTTTCATACTTCAGTGATGGATTTGACAAAGCGGATCCCATCATTTGCCCCTTTGATTTTTGCCAGACAGTCACTGAAATATTCCCAGTAGTCCTTCTTTGTACCAAGAAAAGTGCTCTTCTCCTTCTGGTCAAACTGAAAGAAACATAAAGGTAAAATAAACCATTATGTGGATTATTTTTGTCTCAGGTCATATTTTCAGGAAAGAAGATGTGAAGAAAAAAATACATTGTGAGCATGCATGTGTTTTATATGTCTAACTAGTGGTATCTTATTTTAAAATTACCTTTTATTCACAGTGAATAATTGGGATTCATACCTGTAGCAAGTACTCCAGCTTATAAGAGAATTTGTGCAGGTTGGTACTGTCATCTGTGATTGGCTCCCCACTTTCCCTGTACTCCTTTGCAAGCTCTGCAACAGCATCTGAAATTCAAAACCACACATACATATTCAAGGATGAATAAATATTTATCAAATAACATCAACATTAACTCGGTTATATCTGTCTTATAGACAAATATATCAAATATATACATAGCCTCATACTGACACTAGTGCTGTTATCAGGCACAGAATGAGGAGGCAGGAAAAAGCAAAAAACAGGAAAGATTAGGTTTTCCAGCAAAAGAATTGAGAGTAAAATCTAAACTGTCTAACTGTATTTCCTCAATACATTTCCAGTTACAACACTTAGGCCTCTCCTGGTGTCTAACACTTCAACCATTTTTTCACATTTTTCCCACACCACCCTTATCAAGTGTACATTAAAAACTTGCCTCGTATCCATCGTAAAAACTGGAAGGACACCCGTGATGGGTGCACCCTTCGCACGCACTCTCTGTCTCGTTGCATGCTGACAAAGGCTTCCACCACACCCTTACTACACACACATGTGGTCAGATGTATGTTTACCGAAACGATTTGGTGACCAGCAGAGGGAAAGTAGTTCCAGGCATAAAAATAAAACTTGGACTTGACAACGAGATTGAGGTCATGACATCACGGGAAACCTCTCTCTCTTCTTTCTTCTTTTCAGTCACATTGTGTGAGCCAGCGACTGCCTGCTACTGCTGACAATCTATTCACACACACGAACAGGCATACACACATAATGCTGGCCTACCATGCAGATCTCGGATAATCCTCTGGAGTTGGCTCTCCCCAGCGGTAGCCCCTGTGGCCATGGCCATGCTGATTTCTCCCTGGCAACCAGGGGTCACAAGGTCACATCCAGTCTGCTGAATCAGAGAATCAGAATCAGGCAGGAACAAAAGACTGACATGAATAGTCCAACATACTCTGTCAGGCAGCATGAGCAAACTTGTACATACAATTCTGCTAAGGATTAATCAGTTTTCCTTCAGCATGTTGTCCAGTTCAGAAAAAAGTCTAATGGTCTGTCACATATGCAATTTGATCTTTATAACCTGTAAATGTGATAATGTTACTCCACAGGTTGAGACACTTTGATCAACGTAGGAGCAATAACTAAAAAGTCAAAACATCCCGCTTCTTGAACTTTGGGTCGGGATGATGCGCCTGACTGGTTCATAAAGTGGTTAGGTTGGCACACAGGTAACTAAGTAAACAATTACATATCCCATAATAAGAGCAAACATGCACAGTGTACTGAAAAATTGGATAATGTAAATAATCACTGGAAAGTTAGCAGGGCCAAGGAGGATCCCATTTAGATACAATATATCTTCTGCAAGTACAAGTATTTGCAAATACAAGCAGGGACAGACAACACAAAAAAACATACTGAAACACAGCGATCAGGCTAAAACACAGAACAGAGACAGAAACATATGTAAATCTGTGGCAAAAATGAACTCTGGAAAATAAAAGCACACGTTAGCAGTAATGACAGCATTATGTGAAAACTGATGAGTAAAGATGTAAAACAAGCAAGGCGAGGGTACAGTTTCTAAGTTTAAACTGTCATGCAGCTTACTCCAAACATGTGGTGTATTAAAGCAGAAGACAGATTTACCAGCTCTGTTCGGGTAGTCGAGACTTCAGGAAAATTTCTCTGACGTTCAAGTATTGTAGCTACTGGGACAAAGTTTTAACAGAGTTAAGTGTTGTGTGACTTGCCCAGTAAAGCTTTTGCAACAAAAATGAGGATACAAGTTTCATCTAAGACACAGTGATGTCTTTCCAACCATCTCATAGAATATATAGTGTGCCAGTTACAATGGCTACAATCAGGCACATTTAAGGGACTGACATTTATGAGTATGTGAACATTTTGGTGTGTGTTGATCAGATTTAAGGAGATTGGTGGAGGTTCTAGTCAAAAGTATGTTTTCAGAGTGTTGAGAGAGATGCTGCTTTAGCCATGATGATACAAAACCAGAAATAATAGCTGCAATGATCACATGGTGTTGAGTCCACACCTCTCTGACACAGAGCCAACCAAACAACAAAGAGGTGATGTTTATATCTGACATTACTGAGCACTGTGAAGATGTTCTTGTTAACCTCCTGTTATGTGGAAGTAAACAAAGCATTTCCTTTTGAATAGAGGACATTTAAATGTAACTTTACTGAAGTGGTTACACTCTGACAATAGAACAGCAGCACCTGGAAGTTTAAAACACACAAGTTAACAACGTAGTTAAAGTTCAACCTGATGTTGTGGTTTGTTTGAAGTTACATTAGTGAAGCTTGCGGCTAAATAACAGTTTTACAGTGAAAACAATAATAACAGTTTTATAACTTTAACCCTCAGCTCCTCTAGTGCTTATATCACTCAACAGAAGACGTACCTGTTAGTTTAATCGTCTGCAGACGGCCTTCGTGTATTTTTAGTTGTCTCTGTAATGTTCAGCATGCCACAGATTCCTTGGCAGACATTTTGAGAACTACCGTGACGCTAGCGGGTTGCGTTAGCTGAGCTTAATGTCATGTGTGTCTGCGCGGCGGCTGGAGAAAAACAAAAGAAAAAGAAGAATAACTTTACTTTTCTGGATGTGGCAACAATCACCTAAGTCGTTCTTAAGAGTATACAAACTTGCTATGAGTTTGGTGATTGACAAGTGTGTCATCCAATGACCAAGTGACAAATCGTCCTCGAGCCAATGGCTTTGAGGCAGGTGGGCGGGTTCATGGAGCAGGATGGTGTGGTTGCAGGAGCAGAGTAAACAGAGGTGTCATGTGATCAATGACACATTAATACATGACCCAGTTTGCTTCTTTGTTTTAGTGACAGCTGATCATTATTATTTACAGGGAACGGTATGTTCCTCCCTGTTGAGATCATAACTGCAGCCACAAAGAGAGTGAACACTGACCTGTGAAGACTCTGGGTATTATTATAGTGAGATACACATAATGTCAGACATGAGCGGGACACATAAATATTACAGTATGTGAGGGCTCAGCCTCATTTGCACAGACATGTATTAACCAGGCAGAGAGGGTCTGATGAGAAGATGGTGTGTGTGTGTGTGTGTGTGTGTGTGTGTG